CCTGATGTGGAATCTACTAAGATGTGATACAGTTGATGGTAGTTCAAAATGTGTGTGAAGCCAAAAAAAGATTTGTTGGAAAAATTTTTAAAACTTGTGAAATATAAGGTATTTAAAGCCTACAGTTATTCATTTTATTTTTCATCAGAAGATACTTTGAAGAAAATCTTTGAACCTATTATATATATATTTTTTTTACATAGCTGTATTGAATTATTATTTAAACACAATTTACCCATTTGAAGTACACAGTTCAATGTGGAGTTTTATTTTTATTATTATTTGTTTTATTCACAGGGTTTGTGCAACAACCACCACAATCCAATTTTTAAAAAACATTTTTGGGGCCTCCCTTGTGGTCCATTGGTTAAGACTCTGTGCTTCAGATGCAGGCGTTGTGGGTTCAGTCTCTCGTTGGTGAACTAAGATCCCACGTGTCTCATGGCTTGGCCAAAAAAAATTTTTTTTTAATTTTTAAACATACTTTTGTCTTTTTTAAAAGAAACCCATCAGCAGGCATTCCTCTCCCCATCCACCAATCTTTCACCTCTAAGAAACCACTAATGTATTTTTGTTTCTAGAAATTCTTGACATTTCTTATGAATGTAAGCATACAATGTGCGATCTTTTGAGATTGATATCTTCAATTTAGCATAAGGTTTCCAAGGCTCTTTTATGTTGTAGCATGTATCAGAACTTCATTTCTTGTTATTGCTGAACCATATTTCACAGTAGGAATGTACTTAATTTTATTTATCTAGTCATGAGTTGATAAACTTCATAGCTGTTATAGCTAATACTGCTGTGAAATGTGAGTACAAATTTTTGTTTTGATGTATGCTTTCACTTCTGTTGGATATATACTTAGGAGAGAAACTGATGTGTCATATGGTGATGCAATATTTAACTTTTGGGAGAACTGCCAGACCGTTTTCCAAAATGCATGCCCTATTTTTACAATCCCACCAGCAAGAGTGGGATTCCAGTTTCTCCACATCTGTACCATAAGGGTTCCAATTTCTCTGCATCAGTACCAAAACTTTCTGTTTTTTGTTTTTTTTTATAATAACCATCTCAGTGGATATGAAGAGGCATCTTATTGTAGTTTTTATGAGCATTTGTGTAGTGATTAGTGACACTGGGTTATTCATTGTTTATCTTCTTTGAAATAATGTCTGTTTAAATCCTTTGTTTAAAAAAGGATTTATTTTTTTATTTAAAAATAATAATTTTTGTTTATTACCCTTTGTTTAAAAAAAGCTGGGCCATTCGTCTTTTTATTATTGTGTTATAAAGTTTTTAGATATCCTGTATTCAAGTCCCTTATGAGATCTACTTTCAAATATTTCCTTCCATTGTGTAAGTTTTCTTTTTACTTTCTTGATGGTATCATTTGTGAAAATAATGTTTTTGTTCATATCTATGAAATCATTGCCTAACCCAAGATCACAAAATTTATATAAACTCTCATAACACGTCAGCATTAGCAAGTACGCATTTGATTTTAATTTTGAAAAGGAAACGGGAAAGAAAGAAAAGGGAAAACGTTGAACACTAATTAAACAAGATTTTTAAAAATTCCATCTCACTAGGCCTATCTTACTAAAAATTGTACTCAATTATTATTAGTTTAGTTTCAAATATGCAGAGTACATCATGAGAAATGCCGTGTTGGATGAATCATAAGTTGGAATCAACATTGCCGAGAGAAATATCAACTACTTCAGATATGTAGATGATACCACTCTGATGGCAGAAAGTAAAGAGGGACTAAAGAGCTTCTTCATGAGGGTGAAAGAGGAGAGTGAAAAAGCTGGCTTGAAATTCAACATCAGAAAAATTAAGATCATGGCATCCAGTCCCATAACTTCACGGCAAATAGAAGGAGGAAAAAGTGGAAGCAGTGACAGATTTTAATTTCCTGGGCTTCAAAATCACTGCAGATGGTGACTGCAGCCATGAAATTAAAAGACGCTTGCTCCTTGGAAGGAAAACTTTGACAAACCTAGACAGCGTATTAAAAAGCAGAGATACCACTTTGTCGATGAAGGTCCATAAAGTCAAAGCTATGGTTTTTCCAGTGGTCAGGTACGGATGTGAGAGCCGGACCATAAAAAACGCTGAGCGCTGAAAAATTGATGCTTTTGAATTGTGGTGCTGCAGAAGACTCGAGATTTCCTTGCACTGCAGGGAGCTGGAATCAGTCAGTCCTAAAGGAACTCAACCCTGAATATTCATTGGACGAACTGATGCTGAAGTACCAATACTTTGACCACCTGATGCAAAGAGCCAACTCATTGGAGAAGACCCTGATGCTGGGAGAGATTGAAGAAAAAAGAGAAGGGGGTGGCAGAGGATGAGAGGGTTAGATAGCATCACCTCAATGGACATGAATTTGAGCACATTCCGGGAAATAATGGACAACAGAGGAACCTGGCGTGCTGCCCGCTTCCTTTGCTGGAGTTGCAAATGGTCCAATACAACTTAGTGAATGAACAACAACAACAACATTTCAAATTCATGAATGAAAAGTTTTGAAAATTTATGTTCTTTCTTACTTATAAGTACCCACATAATATCCTTGATTTTGCCTCTCGGCCTGCAAAGCCTAAAAAATATACTATCTGACCCTTCACAGAAAATGTGTGTTGACCTTGCTCTGACTAACCAGATGAATGAGATTTGCTGTGAGTGGAAACTTTGTCAACAGAATGCTCTCTAAATAATTATCACTGATTTAAGATTGCTTATGGCAAACACACTTAGAAGCTGTGGATTTACAACTCCCTAGAGAAGGTGATGCGAGCTACACAGCTCTGAGGTATAAAATGGAGGTGTGTCACAACCTAAACACACCCACTGTGTGAGCTGACCCCCAACTCTCAGAGGTCTCCCCTGTTATTCTAGAAGGAAGGACCTACAAAACCAGCAGGAAGTCCTCAATTTCTCCCTGTTCTGCCTGTGCCTTTTTATTTTATTTTATTTTTTATTTATTTTTTTTTTTTGCCTGTGCCTTTTTAAAAACTGGAGTGTAATTGCTTTACAGTGCTGTGTTAGTTTCTAGCCCGTGCCTTTTGATTGCTTGTATCTTTGAAATTATTAATAAAACTTGATACTAGGTAAGGTCTCTGATGTTTGTGAGTCAGATATGATAGTCTAGTCCCAGGTGTTAGTTGAAACACTATTCATGCATTTAAAAACTTAAAGTAAATTTTCAAAGAGTCAAACCAAGCAGTCTTGGAAAGACCATCCCAAATATAATTTTATGCTTGGAGTAGAGAATAATTAGTTTTTCTGAAAACAGGTAAAAGACCCATATTTTCTAAAAGGAGTACTTGGTGTGATTTGGTAAGGAGCACAGTCACTTCTGTTTAACAGTCCCTTTGAGATCAGTCTCTTCTGTAAAGTTCCATCGCAAGCATACTTAGTCCCTCAGTCGTGTACGACTCTTTGCAAACCCATGGGCTAACCAGGCTCCTCTGTCCATGGGATTTTCAGGCAAGAATACTGGGGCGGGGGAGAGGTTGCCATTTCCTTCTCCAGGGGTTCTTCCTGAGCCAAACTCATGTCTCCTATGCCTTCTGCATTGCAGACAGATTCTTGACCTGCTGAGCCATCAACTATATAAATCATATATCTTTTCATGAAAACAAACCAACATTTGCAAGTAAAAAGGATGCTCAGATCAAATGTGCTGAATCATCCATAGACAATAAAAGATAGATTTGATCATTTCCATTCTATTCAACTTAAACACTATCATCTGCTTTATCAGGTTTTGAAAAAATGATTCTCCCTTAAAATTTTTATGAAGTCTATTACCTCTGAAATTTGCCCTCATTCTTTATAGTACTGTTCTTAAGTTTATATCAAAGAAGATATTCCATCTCAAAACTTTAGAGGTTTCAGGGAAAAAAAAATGGACCAGTTTCTAGGCCATTATTGATCCTTGGAATATTTTGGTCCTGATGAGATCTGCTATCTTTAATGTCTTTTTCCTAAAGGTATATAACTTTAGTCCTCATTTGCATCATTTTGTAATGTTTCTACTTAGACTCCTCATAACTGATAAGAAAGAAACTTGTAAAGATGGAAAAGAAATTATACTATTTAATTTTATAAGTGACAACTTCCTGCATCCCACATATTGGAAACATGACATCCTCATGATTTTGAATCAAGTGGAAGTGTGTCCTAAATAGGCTTGTGGGAGAAGAATGACGGAAAGTATTGAGTAAAATAGTTTACTTGAGTGGCTAGTGCCTTTATGAGATATATAGTTATAAATATATTATGTATCCCTTTTCTTTTTCTTTTTCATTTCATATATGACCAAACATCTCAAAATATCCCTACTTTTTTAGATTTTATTAACTTTATTCAACAGTCTAATAAAGATAGAAAAATGTTACAATTTTATACATACCTACATATACTTTCATTTTTTCTGTTTATTTGTTTTTTATGGAAAGGTGTTTTATTTCACACGTAGCAAGCAGTGTGTACATGACAATCTCAAACTCCCAATCTATCCCTCTCTCACTTCCTCCCTGGTAACCACAAGTTCATTCTCTGAGTTTGTGAGTCTGCTTCTGGTTTTTCAATAAGTTCATCTGTATATTTTCTTTTTAGATTCTGTATATAGTTGATATCATATATTTGTGTTGCTCTACGTTACTTCACTTAGTGTGATAATCTCCAGGTCCATCCATGTTGGTGCAAATGGCATTATTTTGTTCTTTTTTATGGCTGACTAGTAGTCCGTTGTATATGTGTACTGTATCTCCTTTATCCATTCCTTTGTTGATGACATTTAGGTTGTTTCCATGTCTTGGCTATTGTAAACAGTGCTGCAATAAACACGAGGGTGCACGGATTTATTTGAACCATGTTTTTCTCTCGTTTTTCATTTTAGGGCAAAATATTAACAGAGTATCCCCATCTCATGGGCTTTCCCTCCTCCCACAGTTTCACAAAACCTTTGGTAACTAACTAAGAAAATGCAGAAGATCTTTCAAACAGAGGAAACCACTGATTCCCAAGCTCTCAGAAAAGGAAAGAGGAAAAGGACGGAGCCAATGGACTCAGAGAACGTGAACAGTGACCTGGATAAAGCACAGGTGGGTGTGCTGCTGCTGGGGGTCACTTTCTTACTTTGCTCCACCGTGATTCCACAATTCCTTTCACAATTTATTAGTGCATTTCCCCCTCTTTATTCTTCCCTTTAATGCTTTATTCAACTGAAGGAATAAAATTTCATGTTCTCTTTTTATTATTGAACAAGGTGAATTAGAAACATACTCAAAAGACATCTTACATACTTCTATTGAAGTGTGGCCAATTATGCATTGTTCAAACTTTCCTTGATATCCTGGGATATTAAAGATCAGCACACCATCAAAAATGTCTTTTTCCTTCCCCAAACCACTGGAGAAATTGGGACACCTCTTCTAAAATTCACTGGCTGCTTTTCTTTTTTGACGGCTGTTTGTAGTCAGGGCCCCTTTCTTGTTGGTATTCATTCATTTATTCCTTTTTAATCTGAATTCCCTACTCGCATTCTCCTCCTACACTTTGGACAGACTATCCATGTGTTTATTCTGTGCCCTTTTGTGTGTCTTTGTAATGCATGAAGTGTTTATGTGCATATATTTTTAATTTTTCCTATGGTTTAGAATATTTTTTAGTCCCTGGGAATGGTGTCTGGCGGCATCGAGAATGGTCTAGCCTGTGGCACACGTCCGTCCTAGGCTGCCCTGCAGCACAGCCTCTAACAAAGCTAGACTGACTTGAATCCCTGGCAGTAAAATCATTTACCTTTAAACCCAGGAGTTTGGGGAAGTACCAAAATCCACGTGTGAAATGTGCCCAGGCTGACTTGGAGAAGTTGGCTCTGTGAGACCCAAAGATCTTATGAGGTTTTCTGAAATGAAACATCTCAGCTGGGCATATGGTGGGTCCATGTCTGCTAAGGGTGTCCGTGACTGGGTTACACATTCTTTCCTTATGGAGGGACAGAAAATCCTTGTAAAATTCTTGGAGGCATAAGCACAGAGTCAGAAACCTAAATTTAAAATGAAGCCTTTTTCACCTGAAATGAATGAAATACTGTTAATCAACTATACTCCAATATAAAATTTTAGATTTTTAAAATAAAATAAAAATTAAATGGAGCATTTTTGGGTAATTAAAAAATCAAAAGGCTAAAAATTATATAGTGTATAAAATATACAGTATGATCTATATATGTGTGTCATATTATATATATAATATAGTATATATATATATATGTATGTATGTATATAGTGTGTGTGTGTTTGTGTGTGTGCCTGTAAAACATCTCCCACCTGTTCCCCACCCCCAGCCCCCATCACAGGGAACCATATGTTTGGCTTTCTTGTTTATCATCCCAGTGTTTCTTTGTTAAAGCAAATTGAATGTAGATTTCTCATCCCCTCTTCTGCACAAAGAGTAACTTACCAGATAGGCTGCTTTGTACTTTGCTTTTTTTATTTAGCATATTTCGAAGATCTTTCTATTAGTGCATAAAGAACTTTCTCTTCTGTACATCAGCCCCCACCTGGGTGTATGTACCCTTTTTTACTTAGCTGGTCCCCTAGCCTGGATATGGCTTGTTTCCAGTCTTCTTCTTTCTACAAATCACACTGTACTGTACAACATTATGGCTCCATCATCTTGCACATCATTTAGTAATATGCTGGTATCATGATATACACCTCAATCTGTTTCTGATTTTTCAATCAGTGCTGCTTTTAACTTCTGTCTGTACTGCTGTTATACATGATTCATTGTGTCTAACAAAGCACAGCATTGTTTCACATGTACTTTCCTCCAATGATGAAGACTTAGATTTCCTCCAGCATCTTAGTACTACAATCAATGACAAAGTAAATGTCCACATACATGTCCTTTTAAGAAACAGCGTGAGAATGTCTCCAGGATAAACACTCAGAAGTGTGAGTAATTGCTTTCATATGACAATGAAATTGCTTTCCAGAAGGTGTGCATTGGTCCACATGCCCAGCAGCAGCGCCTCAAGGGTTCCACGTTTGTGCTTCCCGGCCAACACGCAGCATTTATGTCCTTATTGCATATATTTGGTAATTGAGGGGAGAAAATGATATCTTGTTTTAATTTGCTAGTGCAGGTGTGGGGGTCCAAAGGTTCCTCAAGGATAAAACAGTCCACCTGCTCTAGCAGGCCAGTGTTAGGGTTTCTTTTGCAATTTGTGTCTCTCAGAAACTTTAACAGCTGATCAAACTCTTTCTATTTGGTTTCCTTGCAAGTAACTACTGCCACACATCTTATTTGGCCCTAAATAAGCCTGAAAACTCTCCTCTTTTATTACGGCTGCCCAGCCTCTTTGCTCTTCAACTTTTGGCAGTGAGTTAGTTCCCATGTGAAACAAAAACCTTGAACGTAACGCACTGAAGCTGAGGTTTACTTTCAGGATGGATTTTAATATCTGGCAGAGAGCACTTAAAGAGAAGCTCTTGAGAAAGCCTTGAGGTCACAGGCTTACCTCCTGCTATTTAGATATAGACATTTTTTTTTTTCAAGCCTTGGAGATTTAACATTATTAGACTCAGTTTAGATCACTTGCTGCATTCTCAGTGTCGATGGATGAAGAAAGCCTTCTGTTTCTGCAAACCAACTAGCACTGACAGGAAGTCACTGATGCACACAGACATTCTCTTTCCAGGCTCAATAAGCACATGGTTTGCCTCCCAAGGCATTGCAAGTGATCGTTTATCAACTGTGTCATCACTGAGATCTAACAAGAGTCAATGACCTTCCAACGTGTTATGCCTGTGCTCTTTTTGCTCATAGCCTGACCTCTAAGTAATTAAAACATATGTCACTTTTGGGGTATCTGGCTTCTACTTTACAGAATCTACATTAGGATGCATGTTGCAAAAGATGTAACGAGGACCCAAATATCACAGTGGTGTATAAAGATGGTTTATTTCCCTTTCACACAACAGGAAGCAGAGTCCTGGTTGCTATGGCAGCTCCACAATGTTGAGGATCCCCCTTATCTTCTGTATCTACCTGCCTGAACACATAGCCTTGGCATCTGGGTCAAGGTGGCTGCTTCCGCACTTACCCTCACGCCTTTCTCTTTGCCAGCAAAAAAGGAGAATTGAGGCAGGATAAAATATGCCCGTTCCTTCTAAAGTCATGACCCAGTGGTGGTACACATTGTTTCTACTCCTATTGATTGGTGGAAGCTTAGTCACATAGCCACACTGAGATGCCCAGGAGTCTGGAAAATGTAATCTGGCTGACACCCATCTGCTGAGCTAAAAACCTCCAGCAATATGTAGAGGAGTGGGAGAACAAAGGCCTGGAGATAGCCAGCAGCCTCCATCACCGCCCGTCCCTCCACTGCGTTTCTATACTTTCTGCTCGGTTTCTTCACCTATTCTGCGGGATTCCTGTTCTCTTCTTATTGATTGGCACATATACCTTATCTGTTGGAGGTTTTAGATATCTTCTCTAGATCTATTGTGGAGAAGGCAATGGCACCCCACTCCAGTACTCTTGCCTGGAAAATCCCATGGACAGAGGAGCCTGGTGGGCTGTGGTCCATGGGGTTGCGAAGAATCGGACACGACGGAGCGACTTCACTTTCACTTTTCACTTTCATGCATTGGAGAAGGAAATGGCAACCCACTCCAGTGTTCTTGCCCAGAGAAGCCCAGGGACGGGAGCCTGGTGGGCTGCGGTCTATGGCGTTGCACAGAGTCGGACACGACTGAAGTGACTTAGCAGCAGCAGCAGCTAGATCTATTGTCTATTAACTTTGTCTTCCAATGATGTTTACAAATGGATTCATTTTAGCTTGATTTTATTTCTCTCTTCTATGAACTTGCTGCAAGAACTAGATCATGTGTTCTGCTTTTTTTCCAATTACTTTTTTCCAATTACTCTGCATAGAATTATGATCTCAATAGGCATCCTTCAGTTTTTTTCAAAAATATTTCATTTCTATTTAACCAAATCTGTCATATTCTCATTTAAAATGTATATATCTAGTGTGAATACATTAGCTACTTGCCCACATAGGACAATAGTCATTTTCATTACCAGTATATATATTATATGTCACATACATGTATGGAATAATGAAATATATACACAGCCATAGATTTGTATATTTGTAAAATAAGGAGTGAGGTTGAATGTGTACATTACCAATCATACAGAAATGAAATTGTATTTTCTATAACTGATCCTACCTGGCTTTCAATTCACCATCCCTGCTTGACAAGGAAGTGGGGGGCTGGGAAATTTGAACTTGTCCATTGACAGTGAATTGCAGTCAGAGTGTTCCGGGGTTTAAAAGTCCCTTTAAGGTATTGGTATGATTTAAGTCTCAGTGAGACTAGACTCTCAGCCTCCTCCGCTTCCTGTTTTTTTCTAAGAAATGATTCAAGTTTTGAGGAGTCTTCCACGCCTCCTGCAGAGGCGCCTGCTCTTCACCCAGGCTCGAGTCTTCTTTGTGGTTCCTGGGTGTCCAGTACTGTGACTGCTGAGGCACAGGGGTCCCTCCAGCCCCCGGGGGTCCTGCTGGCACCATCTACTGATGTTTGCCATGCTGGGACCCACTGCCATCTTCTGTAAGTTTCTGTCACTGTATCCTCTCTGTTCCCCTGTTTCCCCAGCACTTACCCAGTTCCTGACCGGGACACAGGGACCATCCAGATTCTCCAGCTGCTTTGCCTGATCTCCGAGGGGTCTGGACACTGTCTCTGGTTCACTTGGCCACACGGCCCTTTTGGCCATTTCTGATCTGGGGCCCAGAAAGGCACCATGTTGCCCTAATGTTGCTGGACAGGGAGCCCATTTAAGGCATTTATGATGCACTAAGAAGCCCAGAGCTGACCCTGCTGCCTAGACTGCCTTCATTCATCTGGGTGTTTCTGTCATCTACCCTGACCCCAGTGATCCACCTCCATTCCCCCCAAAGGTCAGGGCAGGAAGAGCAGACACGAATCTTTCTGTCTTTCTTGTCCCTAATCCCTCTTGCTCCTCAACCCAGCCCCAGGAAGTCTCTTCCCTTCCTATTCAGCAGGAACTTTCTTGATGCCATGCCTTTATCTCTCTCTCTATTAAAAAAAAAAATTATTGTAGTATAGCTGATTTACAATGTTGTGTTAGTTTCAGGTGTACATGTGCCTTTATCTTTTCTCCTCTGAATCTAATTTTTACAAACATCATCCTCCAGGCTTCGAGGTTTGGATCTTTATAAATTCTAGTCTGTGTTCTAATTTCCCAGATTTAGATTTATAGAAATATAAAGATCAGTTTTATAATTTGAGATAAATTTTTTCTTTCTCTACAAAGCTTAGGTTTTACAGCTCAAATGTACACATTTCAGACTGTTGTCCTGCTGTCCTCAAAAAATATCTTTTAAACTAAAAGGTAAACATCAGTGCTTTGTTCTGGGTAAATCTCTCTCCTTTTTCTGGTGGAATAAACCCCCAAATTGGCCTCATGGCATAGCTCAACAGAGAGGCTGTGGATGAAGCAATGGTAGAAAAATGGAGGATGTGGATGAGTTACAAAGATCTGAATGGCACTCTGGTTGTTTCCGCTCTGTTATACTATTTTTCTACTTTGTGTTTTTCACTAACATTAAGCTGAAAGTCAGAATCCTGATGATTGTTTTGAGAAAGACAAGTGTGTGAAGCTTTGATGTCCTCCCTTACTCTGAGTTCCCCTGGATGGTGGAGGACCAAGCTGAGGCTAGATCACTCGAAAGGACCCAGCTCCCTCCTGGGAGAGCAGGAGCCTGCAGGTCTGATTAAGTCCCAGCAGCATCCAGAACACAGGATAAACCATGAGAGCTGCCTTGATGCTTTGTTGTGCCTGCCTTGTATTTTAGAGAGACCCATATTCGGGAAATGCCTTTCTGCCTGGTGAAAGCTCCAGTGAGGATGAAGAGCCTCTAGCAGAACTGTCAAAGGAGGAATTGTGCACAAAAATAAAAAGCCTGAAACAAAAACTAACAAACATCCGGAAAGAAAACAGCCGCCTTCGACAGTCTTTGGTCATGCTGCAAGGTAAACCTAGAGAAAATTGACATTTTTAGATAAAAGGAAAAATACTTGATGAGTGAAAAGTATTTAAATCAGTGGTCAAGAATGAAATAATCAGTGCCTTAGAGAAAAAATTAAAAACTACATTTTAAGAAAATCTATGATTACACAATTTAACATGGATACACTCTATCAAAGCCTCAGTTTATTGCTTAGAAAATTTTAGATTATTCCTACAAAATACCAAATGTTGTATTCATTTAATAATGTCCAACAAATATTTACTGAGCATTTAATATAGGCCTAGAGAGAAAAGATCAGTTAGACAAGAGATACGTCACTGTGTTCACGATGTGCTTATCTCGTTCCCCTCTGCTAATGAAGCACTAGAAAATGGGGCCTGTGGTGATCCCTTATAGAATCACTGGAATTAAAGATTCCACATATTACACTTCAGATTTGGAGCTGGGAGGAGTGGAAAATAATCACATTCCATTGAAGACTTACAAAGGAGAAAGATAGGCCCAAGAAAATTAAAACTCCCCTGGTATGATGCCTTTTGGAAGAACCTATTAATATATTATGTTTAAGTGTTTATTTTTTTAATTATGTTTTTCATTTGTAGTTCAGAATCATGCACTATTTTTACAGCTGAATTATATTCTGTGTTGGAAAGCATTCTTTCCAACTTAAAACAGTAAACACATAGTGTATTTTGAAAATACATCTTTCTGGCTGCTGTGTACAGAATGCGTACAAGGAGCACAGAAAGGAAAGTGGGGAAGAACCACTCTGACAGGTGTTCCAGTCCTCATACTAGCGGGATGGCAGCCTCGCGTAGGACTGTGGCCATGGAAATAAAGAAGACAGTCTTGCAGTATTCTGGGAGGCAGAAATGGCAGGAGACAGAACAATGTCGTGAGCTAGATCGACACAGTGATGGCTCAGATGCCTTCCTACAATTATTGATTCAGTCGAAGCCTTCTTAGGTTTAAGCAGAAACAGGGACATGTGAATGGAAATAAGGTATGTATTCCACCAACAAGCTAGTCTCTCTTTATTTTTTACATCTTAAATACTGCATTTTTATAACTGATGGTTTTTCCTGGTGAGGTTTTTGCAGTTTTCCTTTTTATAAGGACTTCAGTCATTTTGGATTAAGGCCTACCTCATTTTAACTTGATTACATCTGTAAGACCCTATTTCCAAATAAGGTCATACTCTGAGATTTTTTGGGGTACACAATTCAGCCCACAATATTCCATATTGCTAACCCCAAAGGTCATTTCTGAAGGGTCCCATTAAGTGCCTGCTGCCTTTGACACCTTGGCTACCTCTCCTCCCTCGGCTTCGAGGACACCTGTTTCCTCATGCGCTGCTGAGCTTTCCATCCTGGTCTGTGTGTCCGCCTCATTTCATCACTTTACCCTCCAAATATCTAATGATGCTCAGTCTCCGCCCTTGGACTCCTTTCTTTTCTGTCTGCGTGCACTCCATGGGGGATCATGTCCAATTCTGTGGTGTTAAATTCAACAGTAATTGTGATTCTGAGACATACTTCTGGCCTGGACTTCTTCCTTTAGCTCCCGACTCTCTGTCTGACTGTATTAACATGACTGGTAGGTATCTCAGGCCAGCCTGTCCCGTCCATGTGCCCAGCCTTCCCCTCCACCTGCTCCTCCCTTTCCTTCTTCATTCTCTTGGTTAATGCTAACTGCATAGTTAAAATTTCTCAAGTCAAAAATCACAATGCTATCTTGTAGTTCTTTTACATCCTACAGTCAGTCTCTTGGCAAATCCTACTAACTTCCCCTCCAAAATGTCTCTGGTTTAGACTAGTCCAGACGGCCAGCATCTCTCACCCAGGCTATCATGGTGGCTTTCTCCTTGGTCTTGCGCTTTTACTCATGCTGCTGTGCGGTCCCCTCTCAATACGCAGCAGTTGCAACCCCGCTCCTTGCAGGCCCACTCATGCCATTCCTGTCTGAAATCTCTCTGGTGCACGTCCACCTCACAGGGGGAAGAACCAAGGTCAGTTTTATGATCTCAAGTCCTTACATGATCCAGGCACCTCCCCACCACCTACCTTGCTGGCCTTGTTTTCTATTCTCTCCCCATCCTTCTTTATGATTCAACCCACCCTGGACCGCTTGTTTTCCCTCTGAATACATCAGACGTGATCTGACTTCAGGGTCTCTGTACCAACTTTCTCCTTGGCCTGGGATGTTCATCCCCCAGATGTCCATGTGGTTTGCACCCCCACATACTTCAAGACTTCACTCTAAATTCATTTTTGCCCTGACTTACTCTCTTCATTTAAACTATCAGCCTCTCTTCCCTCACAATGTTTTTTATCCTCCTCCCCTTCTTTGCTTCCATATTTAATATTGTCTGTGCCTCACATGTGCACACACTGGAATGTACTCCTGGAAACCAAAGTAAAGTTGGCTATCAGCTGGACTTCAGGCAACAGGAAGCGTCAGGAACTGCCAACTGCCACTACAGTATTCATGCATGCATTTCTTCATTCAGCCAATAATTATAAAGTCCTCTACATATCAGGCACTGCTGTAAGTACTTAGGAAAACCCAGTGAACAAAATAGCAGAAGATCCCTGCTCTCGTGAAACTCACATTCCAGTGAGGCAAGCAGTCAAGATTATGAAAAATAGCGATTAAATAAATTGCATAATATGTTAGCTAGTGGGAAAAGCTATGGAAAAAAATAGCTGGTCAAGGAGGATGCGGATTTGAGAGAGAGTGTGTGTGTTTTAAAATAATGTGGGTCAAAAAAATAAATAAAAATAAAATAAAATAATGTGGGTCATAGTAGGTCTCCTTGTGAATCTATAGTTGGGAACTAGGACAATATCAAAAAGTTGAAATTTCATGTATAATCCAAGTAAGAAAGGGATCTGAGAGAAGAGTGCACGGTGGTTAGTCATCTTTTGCTCAGCAGTATTCTTCTTTGAACTAAGAATCAGTTTTTCTGCCTATAAAGCCTACTAACTAAGAAATATGGCAGAACATATATGCCATTCTAGACATTCAGAATGGCAGATGTGTTTGTGCTCTGTGTGCAAATGTTAAACATTTGAAACATATCTTGTGGACCACAACTAACCAGCACAATAAGATAGAAAAGGAAAGAAGTGATATCTCTTCTGTACAGAGTGCTATTAAATTGTTACTATGTGTAAAGGGTGAATACATACCCAGGAAAAATAATGCCTCAGCTGAAAACTCAACTCTGTTAACTAAACAGATTTCAGTAAAGAAGGAAAACTCAATAATTAAGTTTTGCTGAGGTTCATTTAAATATAGTAGAAAGCTGTCAAAGTTTCAGACGTAGGCAAAGTAAAACCAATGAATCACTGAAGTAGTAATCATTAAAGGTTTATTGTGCTCACATCAAAAAGACAGTTTGCAAATCAGGAGCACTCAAATCAGAATATGGAATGAGGCTCAGGGGTATATTTTTATAAAGTAGCTTGTATAGTGAGGAAGCAGTGACTGTTTACACTTGTTTATAATATTGGTTATAATATTAGAATTTTTTTAAATGGCGGGGAATTGGTCAGTGGTTGCCTCATATCAACCTTGGGAAGCAGTTCAAGTTTTGTTTATGATTTTTCAGAGATGAAAACAAGAATGGCCCAGGACAAGTTAAGTCTTGCAAAACAAGCTAAATTAAGCCTTCTTTGTGTGATTAACTGGTTTTGTCTGCTTAGAGAATTTTCAAGGCTGGTCTCCCTTTGTTTCTGATTTTTAACAAAGCTCAAGTTAAATGTGTGAATCTCCCTCTTTTCTTGAAATTGTATGAAAAAGAAACTTAAAATGTATAAAATCACAAGGACCAAGAAAACTCAAAAGGAGACCACAGCAGATAAAAGGTGCCGATAAAATTTGAGAGGCTGCGAGCAGATGGATGAGTGGTAACTGACTCCATCTGGAGAAATCTGAAAGCTCAGGGCCTGTGATGAGTGGGGGAGGTATGGGCAGGGGACTGAGGAAGACGAATTCAAAGGAAATAAGCCACAGCACAGCCCAGAACTACAGAAGGCTTGGAATTGTACTTGAGAAAGGGCTTATGTTAGTCCTGATAGTGTGAAAACTGGAGGAGTCATTGAAAAACTACATTAAAACGCTTTAGGACCCAGTCTCACATTTTTCCTATGCAGCCGGCATCTTCCACCCTTCCCACAGCACAGGACGGGTGTGTGCTCCTTAGGAGAGGTTGATCCAAAGCCATGAGCTCAGGGACACTGGGCACAGTTGAGGGAAGGGGTGTGATCACTGGAGGAACTCCTCTAACATGTAATGCAGAGACCAAAACAGGAAACAGAGAAAATGCAGGGAGCAGAGGGAGGCTCCATGAAACAGGGTGGTTTAAGGAAGGAACAGTCAAAGACATCCATAAATGTCTGAAAGTGAAAGTTAAGAAAATCTTGTAGATATCGCAACAAGGAGACTAAGAAAAGGGAAATAAAAGAGATTAGGGAAAGCAGAATGAGTCCACGAGGTGAAACATCCAAAGAAAAGAGGTCCTGATGGAGAGGAGAGAGAAGAGGGAGAAATTATCTTAAAAATAAATACAGTAAACTTCTAGAACTGAAAGACATAAATTTCTAGACTAAAAGATGCTACCAAAAGCCAAAAGGCTTATCGAAGGCATAATTGTGAAATTTCAGAACTCCAGGAAGGGAAGATCCAGAAGCTTTCAGAGGGAGCAGGCATGTTACCTGCTAAGACGTGGGGGTCAGATGACATTGGACTTTTCACCAGCAACACTGGAAGTTCCAAAGCAATTGAGCAATGCCTTTAATGTTCTGAGGAGAAATGATTTAAACACAGACTTCTATACCCAGTGAAACCATCAACCAGGCGTGAGGGCAGAATAATGATACTTTCACACTTACAAAGGCCCAGTGTTCTTCCTGTGCTTCCTTTTTCAAAAATTAAGGGAGGGCGTGTTCCTCCAAATGAGAGAGTGAATCTAGAAAGTCAGTCTGAAAATGGTAGTCC